GGCTTGTACACACGTTTTAGTTGTATACACTGAAATGATGACGTCCGTAACTACGGCTTGTACACACGTTTTAGTTGTATACACTGAAATGATGACGTCCGTAACTACGACTTGTACAACCGTTTTAGTTGTATACGATTCAATCTTGATTTAGGTGAACCTTAAAATTTATATGATTATTTCCAACATTAAATCAATATAAAAATAATCTTTTTAATGAATTAGTTGCATCATGAACTATTCCAAATACAGGTCAGAGGTCAAAACTACTGTAATAATACCATGCTAGTTAAAACTTAGTTTAATATAATCATTCCCACACATCACATAGGAGTGATCAATTGCCTGAAATCATTTAAGATATTCGCTGATTTGTTTTACATTATGTTCTTCAATGTTTATGTTTTGATTCAGTAAGCAGATGATATATATATTATTAGGAAACCAAAAGTTTTGTAATATTTCTTATTGTTAAGGCAAGTTACATTAGAAGAAGTTGTGTTTTCCTTTTGTGTTGGTTAATGTCAATGTATTGTTATCCAATAGAAAGTTATGTTACATGAGATGAAACCATATTTTCTCAATATCTAGTAACAACATTTCTAATTGGTAAATTGTGTAGTTTATTGCAATAAATTTTATTTTGAAGAAGCAGCCTTAAAATTAGAGTGTATCGCTGTTGGATCCTTCCCCTTAACCCTTACTTAATCAAGTCAATGTAAAAGTACATTGGGCTGGCAGGATAAGGGTTAAAGAGGGTCTATTATATTTTAGTATAGATGCATACCTTTTTTACTCATAGATCATTTGACTGCATTTTGTGGAAATAATTTATTCAGAAAGCAAGTTCTAGAAGATTTTATTTTCTGTAACCTATATTCTAATCTTCATTTTGAGTTATCGTACATCTCTCTTTCATCAATTTCCTGAAAATCTTATTATGTTCTTCTTGATAAAGTTTCGTTTATTTCCTGAAAATCTTATTTTGTTCTTCTTGATAAAGTTTCGTTTATTTCCTGGAAACTGTTTCAAGGTGAATTGTTCAAAGTCATTGTTTTGCTATCTACCTATATATTTTCTGAAAGCTGCTTTAATCTAAACCTGGATTTTACCATACATGATATTCAGTATATTTGCTTATCGTTATCGACCAATGAATTTTTCGTTAAAAAAAAAAAAAATTATATGTGGGCAATAAAGTGAATGTTAATACAATTTTTTTAAATACACTGTAGCTATTTATACATTTCATGTATAACTTTGTTATGTATATACCATTACTTATCAGTTTTTAGTTTTTGCCTTGCATGACATTTAGTTTTGTTAAATATTTACATTGGTTTTATTTAACCCTATGAATTTAAAGTTTGCAAGTTTTGTGCTTGGTGTTAGTAACATGTTTATGGCAGTACGAGCCTTTTAAAATTTCATGAACATTGGCAGAAATTGTTCTTAATGTTGTCATTACACATGGCCTACTGCACATTTATTTTGGCTTTCAGTAATTGATGTGTTAGATTGTGTTTTTCTACTAACTATTAATCCATATAATACTGAAGCAAAATTCCTCTGTGTTACAAAAAAAGTAAACACGGGGTGTGAAAAATGCATTTTATTTTCCGTTTGCCTGGGTGCAATTTGCATATATGCAACATCTAGACACTTCACCTTATGTGGTACCTACCACAGAGGTCATTTTGATTCAGTTTTGCATGGTTTAAAAAATATGACAAAAATGCAGATCATGTCACATCACCTGCTTGAAAGCCGCTAAGGATACCCAAAATTGAATAGGGAAAAGCGAAAATCAATGTGTAAATTAGTTTTGTAAGTGAGTGGAACAAAAATAATCAACTGAACTTGATATTTTGGAAATTGTATTTATATACCGGTATTATCTCCAAAGCGTTAAAAAAACAAATGTTGGCCATTTTGGATATAATTGCTGACATTTGGGTAAAAAGTATAAAATTCCACAATGGTCGGTGTGACAATTTAACCCTTTAACAACATCTCAATGTTGGTTTCCTGTTTAAAGAATTAGATTTAGGATTTTCACTGTGTAGATATAACAACCGCTTTTATAAGCATTCGTCATCTTCAGCAAAATTAGTTGTTTTATCGCAATGTGTTTCTTGTATTAAATGTTAAAATTCTGATTTTGAAGATTAGAAATAATTGGAATCGAAATTCAACCAAAAAATTTGCCCACATGTTATAAAGAATTGGTTTTGAGGAGAGATGAAAGCAAATCAAAATGTTGTAACTGCCCTCAATGAGGGCGCTATTCTAAACTACTTTGAGATGTTCACACTGCATTGATGCCTGTACTGCCAGCTTTGCGCAATTTGACTTAGGTAATTGGAATATTAATTATCTTAATCAGCTGTTTATTAGTGTGTATGAAATTTTAATCTCAAGCTGCAATTTTATTTCCAAGATAAACTTTAAAAAATGTAAATGATTTCACAAAATTGTTATCACTTTGTAAGCTAATTTCTGATTGGGTTACATCATATGTATAAATGATCAATCAGGAATGAGTTTTTAGTTTCTTTGTTAGATTGCTACTGATTGGCTATTTAACCCAATCATCTGGCCTATCAAGGCACTCCTTATATGTTGTTGTTGGAGGTAACTTGTGATTGGTTTGTATTATATTCGTGAAATAGTCTTTTATTGTAAATTATTTAAATAATTTTCTGCCTGCTTACCAATTTTGATTTGTTGTTTCAAATGAGATATATTTAGTCAGTGTGTTTCCATGGCAATATGTATTTAGTGTACAGGTATTATTTTTTCCATAGAATATACAAGGATATAAACCATGCATGTAAGCCTTCTATATTCAGTATGCTAATTTTAAAATTGGATGAAAATAAACCGTTACAATTTGCATAATGTGTTTGAAAACATAGTGGTCCTCCTCTAGTTTTCACATAATGCATGATTGTAAAAGTGACCAAGGATCGTTTGATTTTTGACGATAAAATGAAAGAGTTAAAGTCCAACAGTCATTGTGTTACATAGTGTTCAATATCGGTCTGATTTGACATAATGGTAATACCACGGCGTGGTCTTACATAGTAGTCGATATCGGCCTCATTTGGCATATTCA